AACATGAAGTATAAATGACTTTTGTAATGTGTTTAAGTGTTACGGGATAGCTCGGCTGACTTTGTAATGTGTTTAAGTGTTAGGGAATAGCTCAGCTGACTTTGTAATGTGTTTAAGTGTTAGGGAATAGCTCAGCTGACTTTGTAATGTGTTTAAGTGTTATGGGATAGCTCAGCTGACTTTGTAATGTGTTTAAGTGTTACGGGATAGCTCGGCTGACTTTGTAATGTGTTTAAGTGTTACGGGATAGGTCAGCTGACTTTGTAATGTGTTTAAGTGTTACGGGATAGCTCGGCTGACTTTGTAATGTGTGTAAGTGTTACGGGATAGGTCAGCTGACATTGTAATGTGTTTAAGTGTTACGGGATAGCTCAGCTGACTTTGTAATGTGTTTAAGTGTTACGGGATAGCTCAGCTGACTTTGTAATGTGTATTAGTGTTACGTGATAGCTCAGCTGTAGGCCAGTTGAAAGTTGAAATGAACATTTTCCATAGATTAAATAGTCAACTTTTCATGCCTGAGGCCAAGGTGAGTTAAGTTCAAATAAATATTTTCTATGGATAAAGATGTCAACTATGAACACATTGCTTTTCTTTTAAATTTGAAAAGTTATTTTTAATACTGGTTACTGTGGTTCACAAACTTCTGTATCAATTTAACCTTTTTAGGTAATATATGAGCAGATTAATTTTCAAAATTGTTCCTTCTCTAAACATTAATTTGCAGAATTACTATCAATATTTCCAAAAATAGCACCCTCTTAATTGCAAATTCAAGTACTCATGAATAAAACCTACAACTGTTCGTTTGTGAAATTAAGTACCTGCGAAAAACTGAAAAGATTTACAGTGAAAATTCAGTGAAACATTAATGGTGTTAATGTGTTGTATGAAAACAACATGGAGGTGTTAAAAGACCCGGAGTCTCGAATATATCATAACCGAGGAAATAGATCTGGGATTGCACTTTTTTATGGAAGATATTAAATCTTGTCTTGTTTGCACTTTACACTTACATTAACATCTGTACATTGTATCATTTTACATGCTTTAAAAAAATCAAAATGTCTGAAGAAATCTAAAAATATAAAATATACACTTATGGCAAAAATGAATTGCTGTAAATAGTTATAGTAAGTCTGTAACACATAAATACATGTATGTCATTTTAAACCTGAAACCAGCAATCCAAAAGGAAAACTTTACTTCACAGTGTACCATATAAACATGACATCAACAAGCTTGTAGGTGAATTACACCATTCAGTGACCTGATTTCTTTATGGATTTTGATAAAACTTCATACCTTGAACAAGTTTGCCATTCAGAATGCAAAGTTCAAGGTCACTATTACTATTCATAGAACATCCATCAACCCTCTGGTTAAAAAAAATTCTCTGAACAAATTTGATCAAACTACCAGTCTGCTTCAGAGAGCGTGCTACAGCTCAATGTCACCATTACAACACTTTATGAACCAAAAATCCTTCATCACTCTTACGACTTCATACCAGGGTTAATTTAAACAGATTTTTATCAAACTTCATACAAAAGTCATGTATGAAAATTCTTTTCAGAAGTACTTGTTAACTTAATTAAACTGATTTGTCCACTGACCCCCTTGCCATGACCTTGACCTTGAGAGTAAGAACTGAAGATTGCCATGTGACACTTTCCCTCATGAACAGATGTACATATAAGTGAAAGAAATTAGGATTATCAGTCCAGAAAAGCATTACAAAAGATAAATTGCTACTTTGAGGGTACAAACAAGACATCTAGATGATATGGCCAAAACAAGGTTTATAAATATTAAAGTTTGTTTAAACCCCTTGCCCCAACCTTGACACCTGGAAAATTTTCAGGACACAGCATCTGGTCATGATATACATATCTGTTAAGTTCATATATGAAAATTTTACAAAGTAATTTAGAAAACAAGAGCTGGACAAGCATTAACAGGATTTAACCTTTGACCCCTGACCTTGATCTTTTGTGTATGGATTAATAGAATCTATTGCCACTGGTTGTGTAAGATAGAGAAATCTCAACCCGAGGACTAAGATGTTTTGTCCAGATCGAGGCTGACCGAGTTCTGGACAAAAGATCTTAGTCCGAGGGTTGAGATTTCTCTATCTTACACAACCAGTAGCGATTGATTATTTTTCTCCCATAACTAACAGTATTTTAATGTGAAATAAAGGTAAACATGGACCCAAAACACATACAGGCAATTTGTTGATGGATTGTTGACGTGACGTCATTGTATTGTTGAAGTGACGTCATGCCATTGTTATGAATAGGGGAATCCCCCCGTCTCAACCCTAGGGCGGAGACAGATAAATCTAGCACCGGCAAAACGGGAGATAAATCTGTCAGGTGTGGGAGAAATAGTTTTACACAACAGTCTGATTGTGATAACTATATTTGTGAAGTTTCATATGGGAATTTCAAAGGTTAAGCTATTTAAAAGATATTGTTTGTACAAGGTATCAAAAGATGCAAGCATGCACAGAAGAACCAGTGAATAGTCTGCTATATACCCCATTACTTTGTAAGAGCGGTAGGGGGATAATAGGGTAATTACCATAGCTTAGAACTGATAACATCTTGGTTCTTTCAAGCAGAATATGAACCATCAGTATCATAATCATAACTTTAATTTTCAAAAAAAAAAAAATTGGTAAAGAAATTTGCTGAACTATCTTCATACAGCATAACATACTGCATATCAATATATCTTGCCTTTCTAGTAATACAATGTACTTTATAATTTTACCAGTTTGCTTTTTAATTATTAAACATTCTCTCAATTACTGTAACTGAAGCTCCCATCTCTGATTCTACAGGAAACAATCCATAGGAATTGCTGGGGATTACAGGGGTTTGGAAACGACTCAATGGCTACACTTACATGGTATCCCGCATAGTTCTTTCCTTGGAAACGACTCAATGGTTACACTTACATGGTATCCCGCATAGTTTTTCCAGACTAGGTTAGGTTTGTTTGTGTTTTACGTCCTATTAACAGCTATGGTCATTTAAGGACATGCCAGGATTCGGTGGACGAGGAAAGCCAGAGTTCCCAGAGAAAAACTACCGACCTACGGCCAGTACCTGGCGACTGCCCCACATGTAGGCCTCGAACCCGCGACCCAGTGGTTGAGGGCTAGTGGTAGCAAAATTTCAGATGCCTGGTCGGGTTTTATAATTTGCTATTCAAAACAACATTTATTTGAGTAATCTATATCCTATCAATTCTTTTGAGAAATGTTTTATATATAGTGTAATATTTTACCGTAAGACATCCCTAACAATACATTAATTTAACGAATATAGCCTTCAATATTTTTCACAATGTAAAAGTGCTTTTTGGAAGGAGTGAAAAGATTTGCTGAATGAGAAAATACTCCCCAATTGCTAAGTAATACAAGGAAATATCTGGTTATTTTATTTACTGTGCATGCCATATAAAAACTCGTCCTATATGGCCTCATCAACTCAATCATTCTTCAATTGTTTTGAAAACGTGGTTGTTGTCAATAATTTCATACTTTTTGCCTTCAGAGTTAAGACACAAGAAAATTTCATTGTGAACTTTGAATATATTTGGAAACATTCTGACTGAAAAGAATTTTCTGTTGAGTTTGTCATCCCTATAACAAGATTTCTTCGTCACTTGGGTTTGTTAAGTGAGAGAGTGGTGAGTTGTATCCGTCGTCCAGAGGAGGAACGGATGTTGAGGCCTGCTATAGAGGGCTTCGGTTTGTCTTTATCCATGTCAGGCTGGCTGGTAGGAGCACTAGGCAAAACTTTCTCAACAGTTTGTGATGCCACCACATCGGAGTTCAATTTCTCCTCATCGACACAGTCTTTTGGCAGATCATCATTTGACGTTTCCAGAATAAGTTTAAGATCGTTGCTACAGGAATCTGTCTCCATGATCATTGGGTCTTCACTCTAACATAAAGAAATAACAAATGTCAAAATATGTACACGTCTTCATGTTAAATCTTGACACTGGTAATGAAACTAAAGAAAACAGAGCAAAATTGCAAAATCTTAAAAAGCATTTAATGATATAAAAAGCATTTCTAAAATGCTAACATGCAACCATACTTGATACTCCAGGGGTTACGCTCATATACATTCTCAGTACCAGGCATGAGAAAAAATAGACAATGGAAGGCTCAATGAGTGCCACCTTATATATATATATATAATTATGAATGAGACAGGAAGACTAGTTTGATCCTTTAAAGTACATCGAAAGTATCTTGTGGTAGTCTTATGGTAAAATTGACTGACTCTGAAGTCAGGTGTCACTCCTCTGTAATCCTTAAAGGACAGGTATCAACCTAGCGATTCATATAGTTTTAAGTGAGACCAATCAAATAGCTAGCTGTGTGCCTTCAATTTTGCTATGACATATTCCAGGGGTGCAGAGAGCAAAAGTGGGTGTAATCCCTGGATTATCAAGGATTGCATACATCGGTGTGATAACACAAAAATTAGTAGTAGATAATCATAAATATATAGAGATTTTCCTAGCCTTTACAAAATTACAACACTTATTAAATACTAAGTAAGTGTCATTTGATAGAAAATATTTAACTGTTATCATAAACTTATTGAATTCCATATTGTGACAAATGTATTAACGAATAATATGAATACCTAATTATATTTATGTAATTTGATTTCAGTCTTCACATAATGTAATGATCTAGTTGAAGAATGTCAATAGAGGGCTACAGTATTGATATATTTTCTCATAGGAATTATTTTGTAATCACACTGTTGATAGTGAATATTTTGACCACCGATTTATACTGACTTTGGCTTTGTTTTTGATATCATGGTAAGACAGCATACAGCCTTCAGCATATCTCACAGGATACGGGAATGCTTACAATATTTAAATAATCTCAGTCTGTCAAATTGACACATTTCACATGCATTACGTAAAGGTGGATAACAGTCCCTACTCACTCTAGAACTATTTGAGGACGGAGCAGGACTTGGTTGTGATCGTTTCTCGTCTTTAACATCTACCCCTGTGCTGTCAGACGGATCAGACACTTCCTCCGGTACGTACACTTCTCCAATCTCTCCCTCATCAAATACAACCATGGTACAGTAGCCGTCTGTAGAACTTACAAACAGGAATCGGCCATCTGGTGACCTTAAACAGTAACAAAAATCCTTCTTAAACCAAACAATTAACTACAGTTGTAGTTTCTGTTTCTACCCTAAGAATGAAATAGGGTAGGAAAGGCAAATAAAATTATATTTTGTTCAAATTATTCCCTCTTGATTATGTTCATATACATAATTTTACTTTCAAATCTATGAACAAGCAAAGCAAATAAATCCATTAGAAAGCATGTGGACTCTTTACACATATGTAAAACAGTTTTCTAGTGTTACACGTGTGAGAACAAATCTGAAGCTGACTGATCATGAGTCAGCCTGGAAACAAGAACACAAAACAATGACTTTATATTATTGCAGGATCTTGTATAATTAAAAGTGAATGAGAAAAACATCCAATTCCAAAGACAGTGACATCATTTCTTTTAGAAAATTGGCATCAGCTGCAGCCCTGTTACATACAATATTTACCATGTAAAACAAAAAAGTATGCAAGCAATATGAACACCATGTTCATAGTAATGCCATCAATGTATTGTTTGAAGATCTATATCATTACTGGTGTAAAATCAACCTCAGCTTTGATGTCTCTATACATGAACACCAACATCATACTGACACGATCTAACATTAAAATCCAGATTGTAACTCTGACACAAATGTCCCATCTATCTTAATGAGGAACTAATCAGATACTACATAAATGATCCATGATGCCAAAACATAACCTGTCATCGAAACTCAAAAACAAAACCTGTCTTCAAAACTCAAAAACAAAACCTGGCATCATTCCCAAAAACTACCAGAAACATGGTCCATTTCAATTTGTTTCCAATCCAAAATTGAACTTCCCCTAGAACTTACCAGGCGAGGTCGCTGAGTTGGTGATAATGTATATTGCTGATGTAGCCGAACGGTGTCAATTGTTGTGTGTCGTATAGTAGGATAGAGTCCTCCGTCCCTACAGCAAACACTATCCTGTAGGGCAGACTGTCGACAAACACATTCATGGTATCAATAAGTTTTAATGGAGTTTATGTTATACAACTCAATATATTATAAACAAGCTCAACAATTTATATTTAACATTATGATGGCAAGCAAACATTTCCATTAGTTAAAAACTCCTACATTATTAAACAATTTACAGCTACAGGAAATGAAGCTCACTGTCCAATCAAATTGTGTTTTTTGATATTTTAAGTCATCCACAATAAAGCTAAGGTACCTAGTCGATTAAGGGTCCTTGTCTCACTGCACTGTAGGTTTTCCTATAAACAATAACCCCCTTAACTTCCGCTTGGATATAACTGCAGCACAGTTGGGCTAGGATACATCCGATGACAAGCTGGTAGCTCAATCAGTTAGAGCAATGGTATAACAATTTGAAGTACAGGGTTTGAATCTCTGTCTAGCCCAGTTCAATTTTTGCTCTTAGAACACTGTTGTTGATTCTATGTTGTTTATTTCATTTCTATTATTTCTCATATAAAAGTCCTACAATGTATGGTTCTCTTTTCAGACATGATTGATCAAAGCCTTAATCCTGCCAATAAAACAGTTTCCAGTGTTAAGTTGCAGTTTTAGCAGTGGTAAGAGTATCTTTAAACAACTTGCAATTCAGCCACCAAGGTCACTTCACAAAACCTACGTCTAACTTGACCATCACATACATTAACACTGACCAGAATGAGACATCTCATTGCTTTCCAAGAAAACATGCAACACACCAAATTAATACAACTAGTAGATATCTTGGATCAGATAAGAAACTTTGGTTAATTACTTACCAGAATAAAGTTGTATATTTTTCCCATTCTTTTAAATTGTTATTCGTATGATCTGGAAAAGAAAATTTAATCATTTAGTGAATTTTAATACAGACGCTATGAAATCTCTCTACAAATACAAATAAGTGTTCTTAATGTTTGAAAAAAAGAGGGGTTACTAGTAGTAAGTTATAGTTTACATTTTAAGGTGGATATAAATAATTCTGCACACTAGAATATTTTTTTTTTACATTATTACAATACAAATGTTATAAAATCTCTCTACAAAGAAACAATTCCTTCATGTTAATAGGGAAAGAGGGGCACTAGTAGTAATTTATAGTCTTCATTTTGAGGTGGATATACATAATCCTATAGAAAAAAACACAACCAAGATATTTCATACTGAACATCAATTGATTTTCAATTCAAGTATGACGTATAATCTACATATATATATATACGAGTTCCATTTCATATGAGGTTTAAAAAGTTTGATTTCAGCATTTATAGGATATATAAATCATACTATGATCACTTCAAAAAGATTTTCATAAAAAACGTGTGAAATTAAAAATTCAGCCTTTTATTTATCATATAACTTCTAAACAGCTTTAATAATAAAACTGTCTATTTGGCACATCATCTGATTGTCATTGATGTCCTGTATGTTGTAAGTAGCCTTTGCTCATATTATTACATCACAATAGAAACACAAAACACAAACCGATGATATTTGTACAAGGTTGTACCTTACATACAACATGACACAAATATCAGGTGCAACATGGTTGCCTGATTAACTAGTATAAAATTCAAGAATATATCCCAGACATAATTTATTTGTACCTGTTGTTCCATTTCGGTGTATTTTGCGAAGTTGGTACAGTAGAGGGCAGCACCTGGCACATATCGTGGCTTTTTTGGGACTGGGTAGATAGACAGCTGGCCTGAAATGATCATTCTTATTTAAACCTGCGTGTACTATTGAACATGGATATACAGGAAACACTCCAGTTTATACAAACGTTCTTACTGAACACAGAAACACACATTCAATGTCCTTCACTTTTAAATCTGGTTTTAAATGCTGTATGCCTGGAAATGTTTGCTTAAGTTTAAACTTCCACAATGAGATCAGGACAGCAAAGACTTTTTAACATCATACTACGTACAGAAACAGGTGAAGGTCAAAATACACAGTAGGCAAATTAAGATTTATCCAGTAACAAGTAGAAGATTGACTGAGTACAAGTTTCATGGAATACAATTTACTTACTTGTTTAAGTTGTGCCTAGAAAATAGATATGTAGAGTTGATAACCTTATCTCCGATCTCCATACAACCTGCGGGCGTAATCAGAATCTCACCATCGGGAGAAAATGTTAGTCTTCGGAAGAAAGATCGCATAGTATCGTCATGAAACATCCTAAAACTCTTGGGTTTATCTGGTTTAACATCAGTTTTGAGGTCTGTGTCATCCTCTTTCGGAGGTTTTGGAAGAGGAAGGCTCATCTTGGAGATATTGTGTACACAGTTCTTGCTGGCCACACTGTACACTCGACAAGATCTGAAAATTATGAAATATTCTGGAGTAAACTAATGTTTTAGAGCAACATTGCAGTAAATTTGCCTTGAATTTCAATGCTATTTCCCATCAGAAAATGTCTTGCAGCAAAAGTATAACTGTAGTATCATTATCATGTGATGCCTAATATGGCAGGGTATGACGGTGACAATTTTTATAATCAGTTTGTAAGCATATTTTTTTTATAATATAATGGGAGGAAGTACTGGACATTTTAGCATCAATGGTAGACATGAAACACTATAACAGTTGGTAAACCAGTTGTTTTCCTGTCCACCAGACCCATGTCACAGTACAATATCATTGTACAGTGCTAGCATAGTTAATATTTTTATAGTAGTGTTTCATGTCCATCATTGATGCCATAACAGATTCCTTATTCTACCAACCCGACTCGCCTAATGCTACATCTTTGCTCGGAGCTAGTAAAATGTTTCTACCTCTCGCTAGTTTGCAGATAAGGTTCAGTAATTAATACAAATTCGGTTTTTTTTCGATATACATATTATAATGCAAACTAACATGAGTATAATAACGATTTTGAAAGAATTTCATTAAACCTGAATTCCTCAAAAACATTTGCTCCGTAGTTTACTGATAAAAGTTATGAAACATAACAGGCATTTGAGATTACCTTGGTGGTTCTTTCCAAAATCTATTAGTCACTATGTTATGAATAACCAAAGAAACAAACAGATTAAATGCCTTTCTTGAAGCTTCTACTTTAAGGACTACACAGTGTTCCTGCTGAACTTAAGATTTGGGGTATATTTGATACATTTTCAAGATTCTGTACCCCTTGGTACTTAGTTACATAGGACAATCCTATCAAACTGTGGGTACAACCAACTGTTTTATGGGTGGAATACTCTTATTTGGGGGTTTCTGGGAACACTGTTACAGGTTTGCCCCCAATCCCTCCATACACCATTGTCCAGGGCATAGCTCATAAGCCATGCCACTTGTAACCGATTTTTGTTTTGCATGTGCTTAGGATGGCAGAATGTTGCTTACTGAAATTAGGTTTGAGCCACACTTTTTACACAATTATGGCTCTTTGTTGTGTACAATGTTGTCTGTGGCATATTGTTATGCTCCATCACCTGCACATTCCTCAATTTTACCAGCAAAAAACTTTTAGGATGGTGTATCACATCCCAGAGTATACAGCCCTTGGTCCATTTTTATACTAAAACTTGCCCATAAATGGGGAACTATACATTGCATACAACACTTCCCTTCCATCAGTGTCCATACCTGTCAGTACACATAGTTGCCACAAATTCA